AGTGAAACATCAATGATGAAAAGAGAACCTTTGATTGGCTGCCTCCTGCATGCCCCACACTGGGAATTGAGCCCACAACCTGAGCATGTCCCCTGACTGGGAATCAAACCATCAACCTTTAGGTTATGGGTCAACGCCCAGCCACCAGCCACACCGGCCAGGGCTCAGCCAGCTCTCTTCAGATGCCTGTTCCCTTCTCTCCCGCTATTACCAGGGGCTTCTATTTGGTCTGAGTTGGTGGTGTCTCCTCCCACCCAGGGTCCACTGACATCTTTCTTGCCTCCAAACTAGTTTATAATTTGCATTTAAATTGCATTGAAACGATTTTTCAGTTTCAGCCCCTACTGCCCAGAAGCTATATATTTTTTCATTTCCTGGTTCAGATTTCTGAGCGAAGGGTGTGGTTAGTCCAGCCCCACTTCTCTAGGTGGATCATAGGATGCTGGCCTGCTTGGGCCTTGACTCCTTCCAGTCCAGCCAGATCCTGTCCGGTTTGATCTCATCACAGGGTGTGAAACAGCTGCCTGGGCACCTGGGATGGTGGGGGATCATCTTCCCTTAAAAGGAAATCCTATATAGTAAGAGAGGAATATGCTAACTAGCCGTTATGCCCTGAGGGGTAACGACCAAGCACCTCATGACCAGATCACAGATCAGCAAGAAGGTGGGCCAGGGAACCATAGAGACACAGGCAGGCTGCAGAGAGCTACAAGGGGGGACAGGGCAGCAAGCTATGAGAGGGGCGGGGGGCAGGGAGACGGGGGAGCTACAGGAGGGTAGAGCAGCGGGCAAAGAACTACAGGAACCCGGCAGTGACCTATTGGCTACAGAAGGATGGCTCTGGTAAGTCCCCAGAAAGCTTTTAACTCAAACACCGCAATCCTGTTAGTGGTGATGATGTGGGTGTCCTTGCTGGGCTGCAGCTCTGGAACAGAGAGGCTCGGGGCCTGCTGAGCCCTGAGGGTCTGCTATCCGGGGTGGGAGGGCTCCACAGAGCTTCCTGCGGAGGCAGGAATGGTGGGCTCAGGAGGCGGCCTCTGCCCACTGCCCAGTCCCACCTCCTTACTCACACTGTCCTGGGTGGCTGGGAGGAGCTGGGGAGGGAGGGACAGGAGAATGGCTCCCAGCAGTGTGGGGCCGAGGCAGGGGCTGCAGGAAGCCGTTCTTGTCCACCTTCCTCTCCAAGCAGCTCACCTGTTCCCTCTGCTTTTCTTTCCATCCCTCTCATCCCTTCCACATGTTGTTCCTTCCTTCTGGCTGCATAACAGTCACATTTCCGAATGCTCGCTGCATCCCGACACCATGTAAAAGGCTTTTATTTAATCTCTGCTACAAATATGTGAGCACATCTTCCTTGTTAGCCTCTCCCCACCCCCAAACCCAAGTGGAAACCTAATATTAAGGCTAAAGTCCTCTGCACCGCCCACTTCTCATCCCACGCTCCCCCCTCCCCCGCTCACAGTCCCTCCTCTGCCCTGCCAGGTGTTTGCTAGACTTTTGCATATAGAAGTGTAGGCACCTTTTAAATGTAGTTTTATGGCTTTGGGTTTCGCTGTCACTCTTAACTTGCTTGTCTGAGTACAGTTCACTTAGGAAATGCTTGAATCTTTTCCTTTATTTACCAGTTTTTTAAATGACAAGATGACTCTTTCACATCCTCCAAAGGTGACTAACGCATTTTTAAAGTGTCATTATGAGCACATTGATGTCATTATTCACAAATCTCATGTGTTTCTTTTTTGTGCTTAAATCCTTCCATGTTCGGTCAGGTTGTCCCAAGACGCCTGTAGTCAAGAGCTTTTCTCTCAACCACGTCTCCCCAGGAGACTTCCGGTTGGAGCCACCCTCACTTCACCCAGCAACAGCCACCTACCCAGGTCATGGTGGTCTGGCCCCTGTGACCCGGCTCAGCTGAGTTAGGGAGGAGAGGCGCTGGCTGTCTCTGAGCGATCCTAAAATACAACTTTTGTGATAAGGGCATTTCTGGAATTCCCAGTGGGATGAGGGCAACAAGCTTCCTGCTCATGCAAACCCCAGAAGGGCACTGCCCTGCCACCAACTCCAGTCACACCCTGGGTCCCCAGCTGGGTCTTGGCCTGGAGCCCAGACTTCAGCGGCCCCCGCCCGCCTGGGATGCTCTGGGATGTTAAGGGCGCAGCGTTGGTAACATGCAGACCTAGGTTCGATCTGTCTCTCTATTCACTGGGTAAGGATCTTTGCATGTTACCTAACCTTCCTGAGACTCAGTCTTCTCATCTGTCAAATGGGCTAAGGATAGTTTGTGGTCAAAGGAGTGATGGATCTCAAATGTGGGCCCTGTTGATCACCGTGTCTGGCTGTGCAGGTCGGGGCTCTATCACTCAGAATCACTCAGGCCCGGCGCAAGGTGGGGGTCCTTGATGAAGCATTTGAGACTTTCTGGGAGTCATATACTCACTCACTGACACCAACATGCTCTGGCATAACATGTGCCCATGCCCATGTCTGCCCACCTCTTGGCCACACCCCCATGCTGCACACCTGCCCACACCTCCCCTCCAGACACCCTGTCCATCCCTTCTTTGTCCCCCAAAGAGCTCACTTCCAGCTCAGCAGCCCCAGTAAAGGAGGGACTTTCCATCTGTGCAAGGAGAGCGCCCTCTTCCGTTTCCTGCAGGAGATGAGCAGAGGGAGCTTGCAGGCTGGGCTGGGGCTCCTTACAGGTCAGGTTCTAGAATGTTCCCTGAGAGGACTAACCTCAGCCTGTCTCTGGTTTTTCAGTCACAGGCTGAACCGAAACCTGGAGACCTGATTGAGATTTTCCGCTTGGCCTATGAGCACTGGGCCCTCTATGTGGGGGATGGCTACGTGGTGCACCTGGGTCCTCCAGGTAAGGCTGGTTCCCCAAATAAGCACAGGGCAGAGGTGGGTGTTGAGGGATGTTTAGTGAACCGAAGATGCAGAGGTAAGACGAGCATACAGGATGATTGATGCCAGACAGAGGGCTACAGCTTGCTCAGGCATGTAGCAAACTGCACTCTCACTATCACTTTTATTGGGGTTTGGTACAAGGTTAGTGTGTCAGCAGTTAGTCAACTAAATCTCATTTTGTTCTATATTATTACAATAGCGTATTGAAGACAACTTGCACTTGTGCCCTCCCTTTCTGCTCTACACCCACAGCTATGTAATCTTATTCTTTCTCAGGGAGGTAAATGTTCCCAGAACTCAAGATTGTGTGCAATCTTGACTCAGCACGACTCACTGGCAAGTCACACTGTGCTCCTGATAGAACATTCACTTCTTCTTGGCAGGACTTCAGATCCTTGTTTACAAATGACCAGCTACAGTGGGAGTGTCAGCGGCTGCACACTCGTGCGCTGTTCTCACCCAGTGCCCGGATGGTGGGCTCTCCCTGGCCATTGGCTGCATGATGTTCCCTGGTAGGTCTGGCAGCCGCTCCTCTTCCTTAGCAACGAGTTCATGGAGAGACGAACTGTTGGCCTTTGTTCCAGGTGATACTGGGGTTCACTTCCAGCCAAACCACTGTCCCAGGGAAGCACCCCATTGTGTGCTCGATGTTCTGGATGCAGATGAGTAGGACACAGCGTACAGCTGGCTCAGAGGCATGGTAGGAGCGAGGGCCTCCCACTTAGCAGAACCCGTTTGGGGTCCTGGGGCCTCTGCTTGCCGAGCTGGTACTTGCCCGTGTGACTTGCCCCCTGAGCTCAGCTGCACCCTCTGTACAGCAGATGAGAGCCCACCTCCCGGTCGTGCAGGGTGGGATGCAGGACAGCACAGGGGAGCCCGGGTGGGGCCAGGTGGGTGCTGGGCCAAGCCCCCTTCTCTCCCAGAGCATCGTGGCATTAAAGCAAAGGCCAAAAGCCTGGGAACCACCAACAGCAGGGAACGGGCCAAATAAAATCGGTGCCTGCATTTCATGGCTGACGGTGCCACCGTTACAAACAGCTGTATAGCAGGTGTGGGCACACACATGTGAATTTTAAAGCCAAATGCAGGCTTTAAAAAATTAGGGTTATTAAGGAATAACTTACTGGTTTATTTTTTTTGTTAATCCTCATCTGAGGATATTTTTTCATTTATTTTTAGAGAGAGTGGAGGGGGGAGAGAGAAATCAATATGAGAGAGACACATTGACTGGTTGCATCCATGCACATCCCAACCTGGGCCAGGGATTGAGTCTGCAACCGAGGTAGGTGTCCTTGGCTGGGAATCAAACCTGTGACACTTTGTGCATGGGTCAATGCTCTAACCACTGAGAACACTGGCCAGGGCTAAGAGTTCTTTATATATTCTAGATACTAGTCCTTTATTGGGACTGGCCTGAGGCCACACGGTGGGCGGTGCTCTGGGTCTGCAGGTCTGGCCTGGGCTTGCCCAGCAGCCTCCTTTCCTACTATTGGAAACATGTCACCCCGGCCGCTGAGGGCCCGCCCCGCTCTGGCTGGGCAGCACCTGGGGTCTGTGCCCCGTACCCTCTGCCCCTCCTGCGTCTTTCAGGGACGTCTGCGCCCACAGGGGCCTTTAGAGAATCCACATCCTTGGCTTTAGAAATGAGGGAGCCGGAGTCCAGGGGCATCTGTGACTTCTCCAAGGGCACCCAGGCGGGGGTCGGCCTGTGTTTGAGGTTGAAGCCAGGCAGGGGCCAGCCTTTCCCCAGCTCATCCTCACTGATGATGCCCAGGGCAGTGGGGCTGCCTGCATGCCCGCTCTCAGCCCCGACCATCGGCCTCTTTCCTCTTTGGGAACCACAGGTGACATCACGGGAGCTGCGTTGGCCAACATCATGTCCTCCGGGACCGGGAGGGCCATAGTGAAGAAGGAGCGGCTGTCCGTGGTGGCCGGGAAAGACAAGTACCGTGTCAATAACAAGCATGACCGGAAGTACTCTCCGAGGCCTCCCAGGAAAATTGTGCAGCGGGCGGAGGAGCTGGTGGGGCGGGAGATGCTCTACAATCTGACCAGCGACAACTGTGAGCACTTCGTGAATGAGCTGCGCTACGGAGTCTCCCGCAGCGACCAGGTGCGTCCTCAGCCCGTGTCCCTGTCCCCAGGAACCAGACCATTCCCTCCGCTGACAGTGGCTGGGCACCGTGTGGGCGGCCAGGGTGGAGGCAGAGGCACGAAGGAGACAAAATAGCAGGGACAGAATCCCTGACCTCAAGGAAGTTACAGTCGGGGTAGGGATGAGATTGGGGAGAAGTGCCAGTCGCTGTGCAGTCCAGTGAGGTAGGGGGTGATATCACAGCCACGACAGTCACCCCTGGTCCCTCCCATAGCTCTAGAGGAGGGTTGTTTTATCCCCATTTTACAGATGGGGAAACTGAGGCTCACAGTGCTTTACGAGCTCACCCAAACTCATTCCAGCACTGGGCATTGAGTCTCTAGCACCTGACAGCCACGTGCAGAGGTGGGATTTGAACCCAGGTGCCTGATCCAGGAGGCATCACAGAAGAGGTGACGCCAGAGCTGAATCGGATTTAATTGTTTTGATTAAATTGAAGCTGGAAAATGAGCTGCAGATGACCAGAAAGTAGGGTGAAAAGAACTACAGGCCCAGAGAGGAGGACAAGTGGGAGCCAGGAGGAGGAAGAGCCACACAGACGTTTTCTGCGACATGTCGGGGGGGACACCTTTCGGGCTCTGGCCCACGTGGGCTCTGTCTCTCCACTCCACTCTGCAGCTTTGTAGCAGAAACACAGTCGTGGACAATCCGTAATGGAGTGGGTGAGGCCATTCCTAAAAAAGCTTTTTATGAAAACAGTGGTGGGTGTTAGAATCGCCGAAGGAGGAATGCACAAGGCCAAAAGGAGTAAAGAATTATGAGTTTATTAGGTCACCTGGACACCAGATGGGCTGAGCCCCAAAATGCCACCCGCACCCAGGAATGGGTGGGTCAGAGGCTTTAAAGGACTCCAGGCAGGCTCTTCTGGGCGGAGAATTCTCTAGGCGGGTCCTGAGGGGAAGGATAATGGTCTTAGCAAGTGGACCGTGGTCTAAGCTAAAGGGAATGTCGGTTGTGAAGTGGCCTAAAGGTCAGTGCCCAGGGGAGGGAGTATCGACTCTATCATGTGATCAGGCCTGGCAGTGGGCTCGCTTGGGCCCCTGTGCCATAGTGTGTGGACTCCTGGTCTCAGATAATTTGAAAAACCACAAACCCCTCACACATTCTTAGCTGACACCAAACATTTAAACAGTTTATAAATACTAAAGAGGTGCAGAGGACGGCATTTTTGGTAGGTGGTACATATGTGTCTATTTTCTTCACGTCCTTGGCGTTGCACAGTTAGCTCACGCAGTTAATGGAAAATGCCTGCATGTTATTTAAATAGTCAGAGCAGGCATTACTGCCAACCAGTCAGCCAAAGGAGACTAAGCTCATTCATTTATTTATTTTTATTGTTAATCCTCATCCGAGGATATTTTTCCATTGATTTTAGAGAGAGTGGAAGGGAGGGGAGAGACACACAGAGAGAAACATTGATGTGAGGGAGACTCATCGATTGGATGCCTCCCCCCTGAGCCCCGTCCAGGGTCAGGGATGAGCCTGCAACTGAGGTACGTGCCCTTGACCTGAATCGAACCTGGAACCCTTCTTTCCACTGTATCCACTGAGACCAAACCGGCTAGGGCCAGACTTCACTTCTTTTAGGAAAAACGCTGGCTTCCCTCTCCCCACAACTGAAATGAATACATTACAGCAAGTTTCCATGGCACCTGCCTGGGGCCAGAATTCCCATCTAAAGTAACAGAGGTGGAAGGAGCCTCCCAGAGGGGATGTGGTCTCCTGGTTCTTCCCATGGCCTGTCTGTCTGGAAGCAGTGGGTGCCCCATCCTCGCTGGAACCTTACGCCTCAGGCCAAGGCTGTAGATCCAGGTTGGTGAGGACGAAGCTCCTCTTCTGTGAGGGGGAGAAGGGCTGTGGTGAAAGGAGAGAGGCAGGAAACCCACTGGGAAATGCCCCCTTTTTTCTCTTCCCCTGAGCAGCTGGTCCCTGGCGCCTCTCTTCTGAGCTCCTTCCACAGCTGGGAACTCGGCCTTGCCTGTCTCCCTCTTACTCCTTCCTGCTCCCTGACTCTGTCTGCAGAGACTCCCTCCATCTCCCTCTGTAAGCGAGTGGGCGCCCCTAGGACTGAAACGCCTGCGGGAGAAGCAGGAGGCTGCCAGGAGAATGGACTGGCCAGCCAACCTCTGAGCCGGGCCCGAGCGCCTCTCAGAGGCTTACTGACAGGGGCTGCCCCTGGGAACCCCCTGTGCCCCGGGACGGGCATGTGTGGCCTGCAACTCAGGGGTGTCTTTCTCATGGACCTGGGCTCCTTCCGGTCCTTTGAAATATCAGCCCTGGCCCAGTGGCTCTGTTGGTTGGGTGTCATCCTGCGCACCAGGAGGTCGCCAGTTTAATTCCTCTTCAGGCACATGTCTGGGTTGCAGGCTTAACCCCGCAGGGGTATGAGCAGGAGGCAGCCCATCGATGTGCTCTCACATGGATGCTTCTCTCTCTCCCTCTCCCTCCCTCTCTCTCTCAGAATCAATAAACTATTCTTAACAAAAAACATATATAGAGAGATGCTGTTACGGCAAAGTAACCAAAGACGGGACACAGGCCACCAAGCCCTCGGGAGATGCAGAAATGCCCCTTTATCCCAATGCAGGGCTGCTGGCTCAGGGGATCAGTTTCCCAAAAGCTGAGCAAAACCTATTTTGCTGCAC